TGTGTGTGTGTGTGTGTGTGTGTGTGTGTGTGTGTGTGCGTGTGTGTGTATGTGTGTGTGTGTGTGTGTGTGTGTGTGTGTGTGTGTGCCAGGTACTAACCTGCAGAAAGGTGCCACCTTGATGCAGGTGTGGACGTCCCGAAGACAAAGCTGGAGCTATGGCGTCGCAGGTAAGTCGTAAGTAAGTCCTCCTGGCCTCAGCCCGTCTCTCACTCTCTTGCTGCAGTGCAGTGCAGTGCAGTGCTCCAACTCCTAGCTCGCGCCCAGCGCTGTAGACTACTCTAACTGCACCCTGCGCTCGACTACTGAAGACTACTCACTACTACCTCAGAGCTATCACTGACAAGCACCTAGCACTACCTCAGTGAACTGCCTGAAGAACTACCTGCCTAGAAATGAGGTCGACCCCGCTATATATGCGCTGGGCCTAGTGTCCTAGGTCGAAAGGAAACAGTCTGGTCGAAAGAAAAACTGGTCTGGCACCAAGAACAGAAGTTGGTTCTGGCGCCAAGAACAGAAGTTGGTTCTGGCTCCTAGAACAGAAGTTGGTTCTGGCGCCAAAAACGAAAATGGCAAAAAGTAGGGGCCAGGCGAAAATATGAAAAGTCTGGCGCCCATTTGCAGAAAGTAGGAACCAGGCAAAAATACGAAGAGTCTGGCACCAATTTCCATAGGTCTGGTCGATGCCAAAAGTAGGAACCTGGTTTTGCATAGGTCTGGTTGATGACAAAAGTGGGAAGATGGCAAAAACGAGATAGTGGCCTACTGGGTCCTACGGGTGGCACAGACCCTAAACCCTACGAAACCCCTAACCTTCCTATCGGGCCTTGTGGGGCCCGTGTGGATCTGAGTATGCCACAGCGACATTGATGACTTTCAAAAGGAAGGATATACCTCCCCTCACCCCTGCCTAAGTCAGCCTATTGGTTTAACCTCCCTATCGAGCTTGCCCTACGACCTGATTGCATCTTAACTTAAGCTGGATTCGTCTGCTCCTCTCAGCTGATCCAGCTGTCTGCTATGCTTGAGTTTCTGGAGCTGATCTTCTGGGGTTTGTGAAGTTTTGCTAACCTTCTGAAGCCAGCTTGCTTCTAACACTTATGCTATGATATAATAGCAAAAGAGCCTGGAAGGCTTACTGTGTAGAGGGCTGTGTGGGTAGGTGTGGCGTGGGGACTTTGGCGAGGGTATATTTTAAAGGGGGTCTTCGATGAGCTTGCAAAATGTAATCACGTGTGGCTTAGGGTCAGGGTATAGGTTGTAGCCAGGGTTTAGGGTTTCAACAAGTTAGGAAGGTAATGATAGACTCATGTTGAGAAGATACCAGTGGAAAGCCGGGAGTGAGAAGGTCGAAAACCTGGGGCCAAAGTTGGGAGGTGTTCGGTGAAGGGTACCCTGTGGGTGTTGAGCAGTTCTGGAATTTCAGAGATGACCTTCTGTTGGGTTCATATTATGGCTTCTGCTACGCGGTGGTCTAGAGGTGTGATACGAGCTGTTACTGGGAATGTGCTGGGGTTCTGGTTATTTTGTGGTGGTATAGGTAGCCTCTCGCCTTCTATTGAACCCAGTTTGACGCTGCCTAGCTTCAGAGTAGTGAATTGTTTAATGATCTCCTGTTTTTTATCCGGAATATCTAGAAAATTCTCGAGTTGCTTTTGTGTCTTGTTTCGAAGGGCGTGAATCTCTGTTTCCACTGTCTGTTTTATGATGATAAGCAGATTTTCGGATGTGGTGTTGTGCTCATTGAATGTTAATGCGCATCTCCCTTTTCCAGATGGCCCAGAGGGTCCCTTTTCGGATCAATGAGAAGAAGAAGAGTTTGAACTTTGAATCCTCTGAGGTGGGGGGATTGTTGTTTGTCTAGGAATAAAGTTCCGGGACTGATTATGATGGATCTGTTACGGTGTTTAGTCCAGGTTGTTTCTATGTCATGCGATACTTCTTTGGCTTTCACGCAATCTAGAAAGCAGTGGTTGAGAGATTCTTTGGCTTGAGAATCACATACTTTGCGCCATGATGCTTGTTCCGTTCTGTTTTCCTTTTTCCTTCTTTGCGTAAGGCATTGGTTCCGGGGACTGCTTTGTAGGTCATGAGCCACAGGAGGCTGGCTAATTTGGTTTGTCTTGTGCAGAAGATTGAGGACCAGTAGGGTCTGCTAGTTTGCGAGTGAGCTCTCTTTCTTTTCCCATTTTTTTTGTAAGAGAATTGACACTGATGTTGGTTTGTCGTTCAGTCGGTAGCCTAGTCTGGGGGTGTAATCAGTTAGTATGGGGCGTCGTTCTACCAAGGAAAGGCAACTTGGTCTGCTCCAAGTCCATTCTGCCAGGTCAACATCTAGGTAACATATTTCTGTATCTGGCTTGTAGACCCTGTTTCTATCCCCTTCAATGACCCTGATTCTTTTGAAGTTGCTTACTTTGAAGGCCCTTCGGCCCTACATTCCTTACTGAGGAAACTCGCAGGATTGTCAGGTTCTTCTACAAGGGACATGGAGCATAATATCCAGTTTTTGTTCTTTTGTTCATAAGTTATTATTATCAGGACATCTTGAGGGACTGTTCGATCATTTGCTACTGCCCAGTCTCCCCCACTGCCACGTCTGTTTGGACTTGAGCAGTTGTCGCCATTCCATGGGTATGTTTTCGATGACAGTGGAGATGTTAGCCTGCAGATTGTGACTACCTTTTCAATGTCTTTCGTAGTTCCTGTTCGTAGTTTCGTTCCATGGGTGTTGGATTTGCAACTTTGCTTTTTCTAGCCAATGGCCCCATTTGGTGCCAGCTTCGGTGAGACAGAAGCTGAGACCATGTTCGTCCTTGATCCAAGGGTTGCCGAATATGGGTTGTCTCAAAACTTCGTCCCTCTTTTTGGGCCAACCTTGTTTTCTGGTCCATGTATCGATGAGTTGCTCCCAAAAGGATTTTGCATTCCCTTCATCCTCCTCCTCCTCCGGGGTCGATTAGCGGGGCTTGTGCCTGCCTTCTCTTGGGAGGGGCCTTGATTGAAGATCCAGAAAAGGCCTGACATGTTGGGTGGCGAACTGAAAGGTGCTAGCTCCCAGATGTGATTCAGGGTCAATGGTACCCTGGAGGGTCAGCCTGATTATCCACTTCACTTGAAGGGCTTTGATTTGGCGTGCAGGATCTAGGATTCCTAGACATCTCTTTCGTTTGGGCTGCGTTACAATGTGCCATGCGACTTTGTGTATGAAGTGCTGTTTATCCGGGTTCCTCGTCCACAGGAAGGCCACCGTCCTACGTCAGATGTGTTGTTGAGAATCTGGGAAGGGGAACCAGAATGAGGTGGCATACCACATCATAGACAATTTTGAGTTGTTTAGAGCTAAGGTTCTGTGAAGTACTGAGGGGTGTACTCCCTGACAGCTATGCATTCTATTGATCATCGACGACATCACGGAGGCTGTTGACATAGGGTGACAACCTTTCGTGCTCAAGTTAATTCTCAAAAAGCAAACAGGAGTGGAAGGGTCTGCCCACTGTAAGCCTTTTTGGGGGAGAGCTCTAATGGAGGGGGGAAATCTGCTAGCCACCAACCGATTGTTTTAGACCAATTGACTTTCATTTCCGAGCCCTTGTGAGTGTTTGAAAGGAGGAGTTGGAGGCTCTAATGACTGTTAGATCATCTGCGAATAGGAGGGTGGTCGGCAGGTGAAGCGTTATGCCTCTTTCGTCTTTGATGTTCTCTAGTCTTTCTACCTTCCTGAAGAAGGCTGTGATGGCTTCCATGACAAAGAGGAAGATTAGGGCTGCTACCCGCCATCTTGTAGCGATCGCCCTGACTCGGCGACCTCGCCATCTTGTAGGGGTTGGAGAGGAAGCCGTTTACTTGGACTATGCCTTGGACATTGCTGTAGAGGACTCTCAACCACTTACAGAAATTAACGCCCACATCCATCTTCTCCATGCTAAAGTAAGTCCAAGTTGACCTGGTCATATGCCTTCTTCCCGTGGTTTCTCCCTCATCTCCTTCTTCGTCTTGCTCTTCCTCCATCCCCTCCTCCGTGGTTTCTTCCCGTGTGCGTGCTCAAGGAGGGACCTTTTCTTCCATGTACGCGGTCTCTCACATATGTAGTGTGTGATGGGTGGAGTTGGGTCAGTGTCTAACAGGTCAGGTCATATCTTTGAGTCTTCCACTGCGCTACATTGTGCTAATTTTATATGTATATGAATGTACATTGCTTGTTGATGCTTCGCTGATGCTTCATCGTCCATTCGAGTCACCATCACTTTGTTGATCCTTTGGCTTCATTGCATCACCCCGATTACTCCGAGTATGCATCAGGAGGTGAGACGAGGTTTTGGAAGATATGGGAACGCTACCCGCAATTGGCCCGTAGGAATGCGGAGACAGGACACTTTGAGTTGGGAACATTGTTGCAGCAATATGCGGAACCGGAGGCAACGGATGATGGATAGGTGTACAATTTAGCAGAGGGGAGAAGGTTGTGAATAAGTAGTAGGGTAGGACGACTGTAGTTAACTGTAGAATAGGGTAGTGATAGAATAGGGTGGGGTGTAGGATTGGCATCCAAGCAAGGTGGAACTGTAAGGAAAGTCTAAGACGACTAATATAGCAGGAATAGAGGGTGAGTAATAGCTCTGAGCAAGAGTGGAAGTGAGTTTGGGTCTGGGGGATACTGAGGAATGCGTGCTGCAAAAGGAGTACGAAGGGGAAGTGTAGAAGTTTTTAACAGATGGATGAGAAGGAGAAGAATATGGGTGAGGAATATGAAGTTTGAAGGCAGCCAGCAGACTGCAAGTGCGGGATGGGAACCTAAACCCCCCCCAGACCGGCGGGCATCATAGTTTGCGTCTGGGTACTGGGATGAAGTTCCCCGGCCACTATGTGCCCGCGGCCCCCCGTAAGGTGCCTCGGGACGCCCAGGGAAAGGCTGAAACTTCATCTCTCTCAACTCTCTCTCTGAAACTCATGCTTGCCGGTAATAAGTAACCGGACTGACGCCCCCCAGAATAGAAGGGGCTTGTGTGCTTTCAAATTTCAATAATTAAAAAAAAAAAAAAGCGGAGGGCCACTGTTGTGATGCCAATGGGCAACAGCCTTTCACATCCTTGATTTCCCATCTCAAACTGCTGGACTGGTCCAGCCAGTGAGAACATCAACAGTCAAAGGGAATACTTGGAATGGGATAGAAGAAAGAAGTGAGAGGAGCCAGTAGCAAAAGAATGCACTGCTAGTAACCTACTAGAACAGTTATCATAAACTTCAGAGCAAGATAGGGCTATTACTACGTGCATCATGCATTCTCTAGAGCCTGCAATATTCATTCAGCTCTGCAGGGAAAATATTCTTCTTTTGTACTTTGTGGAAACATGAAAGCAAAGGATGGAATCAAGGAGAAGCGCTCAAAGGACTCACTATCGCTGGCAGCTTACATGGAACAATGTAAGCACTTCTCGCAATTCCCGATGTCTGTCCAGCAACAAGCCCTGCAACATGAGTGCCATGGCCATTGCAGTCTTCAGTCCCCAGGCCATCATTGACAAGACTGAATCCCGGTAGAACTCTTGATTCATTGGGATTCTCCGCTTTTCGAAATTCGATGTGTGTGGACCTCACACCCTGCACATCAGGCCATTCATCACATCGTGCCCTTTGGCGTCACACTCTGTGTTGTTGGGGGGAAGGGGAACACCACCTCAGAACAGACAGAAGAGGGTGATTACTACATAGGCAGGTAAGGATACCTCACAGTTATGCATGGATAAACCATTACAAAAGGTCACAGCTTACCACGCGTACTCAGTTCCACAAGATATCCTCAATGGAAGTAGTACCAACTGGCCTCATAATTTGAGAGGTAGTGGTAAGCATCCGATTGCATCCGGTGTGAATGCAGGGTTTGTTTTTTGCATTCTTTTCCTGCAAATTTCAACACATGCAATGACCTGCAAAGTTGCAGTCTGAGATTTCTACATTTTCTGAGTACGACTGTCTGTTCGAGCTTGTCAGTTGGAGCTTTGCTGAGATTTCCGAGTCTGAGTCTATTTTGCCGTGTTACATTTGTAGGTGGACATGGGCGACCTGAAGGACATGGCGTGGCAGCAGCAAACGACCAACCAACAGTTAGAGGAGCAGATTTGTGCAGTAGCTGCCAGTTTGGCCCTGTCATTTGATGGCAATCCGATCTTCTTCGATGCAGCGAAAACCGAGCCTATTCCATGGTGGTGCCAATTTGACCTGTGTATGGACTTGTACAAAGTCAGTGACCCCAACCGGCATGCCTATTTATATCACCTGTCAGCGGGCGCGTGTCAAGCTTGGCTTGACAATATGCTGTCCACGCACAAGGTCACTGTCTCCGAGCAATGCAATGAGGTACAAATTATAAATTCGGGACCCCGACGAAGGTCAAGGAAGCATGGCACAAGCGGTTCCAAGTGGAACCGCCCGAGCTTCAGGCGATGGAAAAATTGCAGAAGTTCCAATAGCAAAGGCTGATTTAGGTCCCCGCCTAGATAGTTGTCTAGAGACTGCTTGTACCAGGGTCTCTCTAGGTGGTTCCCTTGCAGGCATTGGCGATGAACTCTCACTCGTGATGTCTGGGCCGAAATGAAGAAGAGTGTGAAAGGACTGCTTATCATAGGAAATGCAGAGATTCGTAGAACACGGGTAGGCACGTTGGTCGATAGTGGATCGACCCGTAGGTATATTAGTCGAAGCGGATTGAAAAAGTTGCATCTCGGCATGAAGGTGCAAAGGTTGAGCGTGCGAGGCGTGAGTGAACTGATAGACAATCATGAAATGCGAGTAGAGGAGTACGTCGAAGGGACCAAGACATACTTCCAGTTGGAGGGGGGGAAGAGAGTTGAGAAAGTGTTGCACCCCCTGGCCCTTTTAGTGGAAGACAACCTGTCCTTTGACTTAATTTTAGGGACGGATTGGGGCCGCGTATGCTGACGTGAAGACGGGCGAGCACGAGTGTTGGCTACCTAGTCACAAAGGGGGGAAGAAGAAATGTCGTTGTTACACGAGTCTGAGGTAGAGTCTAGTTTGTCCCTCTGTTGCATGAGTGCCCCTGCGTTCGTCAGGTACATAGTTAAGGAGAATATAGTTCACCAAGTCTTCATTATCTATGTCAAACCGGTTAGCGAAGAAGAACAAAAGGACAAAGAGGTAATACCGCCCCAAATAGAGAATCTATTAAAAGAGTTTGTAGACGTGGGAGAGAACCCTACAAGTGTAGTGCAAAGAGAGATCAGGCACCAAATCGAGATCGAACACGGTAGTCGAACTCCGAAGAGTCCTACATATCGAATGTCTCCCAAAGAGTTGGATGAGTTGCACAAGCAACTCGACGAATTGTTAGAAAAGGGGTGGATTAAGCCTAGCTCGTCACCTTATGGCACAACGGTATTGTGTGTCCCAAAGAAGGGCGGCGAACTGCATATGTGTATCGACTATAGGAGGCTGAACGTAATCACTGTCAAAAGCGTTCAGCTGTTGAATAAACAATTTTCTGGACAGGGTGCAAGGCTGTAAATGTTTCTCGAAGATAGACTTGAAATCGGGCTACCACCAGATTGAGATAGAGCTCGAAGATCAGCACAAGACGACCTTTAAGACCCAATATGGTCATGACGAATTTATAGTGATGCTGTTTGGGCTGACGAATGCCCCTACCACGTTTTAGAGATGTATGAACGCTTTCTTTAAAGAGTGGCTAAACAAGTTCGTTGTCGAATACGTAGATGATATTATAATCTTTAGCAAAACGTTACAAGAACATCGGGAACACCTTCGTTTGATTTTGAGTAAGCTAGTTCAAGTTGAACCTGAAGAAGTGTGAGTGAACTAAGCGCTAAGTTGTGTGTCTCGAACATGTCGTAGATGAAGATGGAGGTAGACCGGAATATGCGAAATAGCAGCGATTACGCCGATTAGAGATTGACCGATCCTGCATACGCTTACGAAACAACGTTCATTCCTAGGTATGGCCCATTACTACGGAAAATTTGGGCGCAATTTCACTCGATCGATGCACCCGTGCATAAATTGTTCAAGAAAGATACCATTTGGAAGTGGGATAAAGACTGCACTTTCACTTTTGAGAAGTTGAAGAAGTGTTTGATCGAATACCCGGTCCTCAAGATAGCAGGTCCGTCTCTTTCGGTCATCGTAACAACCGACGCGAGTCAGTATGGCATTGGCATTGTACTCCAGCAGAACGATGGAGAGGTGTATAGACCCGATGAATATATCTCATGCAACTTACCTATTGAGAAAGTCGTTGCCTCGACATACCACTCTAGGCCGACACTTCAAAGTGTACTCTTATCACGAGACACGTAAATGGTTGAAAACCCAAGTCTGTATGACTCCTAAACTGACGAGATGGGCTGCAGAAATCGACCAGTTTGACTTCGAACTAAAGCCAAATAAAGGTAAGTACAACGTCGTGGCCAACGCCTTCAGCGGGAGAAGAGACTTCTTCGGCGCACTGGTGACGTACTTCGACGCGGGCGCTGACCTGCAGCTGAAGATGAAAGCCGCATACGCTAAGGATCCCACCTATAGCCAGTTAATTAAAAAAGTACAAACTGCACCCCATGAAGTCCCGGACTATCGAATGGCTTATGGACTACTGTTCAAGAAGGCCGATGTAAATGATAGGCTATGTATCACCAATGATGAGGAAATTTGTAGCTTGATCTTGGGGGAATGCCACAATCCAAAGGATGGTTTGGTTGGACGAAGACATGTACAATTCTCCTCCAGTCCTACACGTGGGTTGGCATGAAACACGACTGCATCGCGTACATCCAAGGCTGCAAAGTATGTCAGCGGAAGTTCCACTCAGCCTCCCCTTGGACTGTTGCAACCATTGCCTATCCCATCAGGCCCCCGTGACTCCATGTCGATCGAGTTCATGGATACAAAGGTTAAGAGCAGGGATGGTAAAAGTCAAGTAATGGTCATAGTGGATAGATTTAGTAAATTCGCTGTTTTCATTCCATTGCCCGCACAAGCGAAGACTAGTAGTGATTAAAGCACCAGTACATGCCAGCTATCGGCCGCGGGCCCCTTTCGGAGGCCGCCCGCCGCCGATTCATTTTATCTACGGTGCTCGGCCTCCTAAATTTGAGGAGAAGATCAAAACAGGTTCTCTAGTTGCCTGGGGCCATGTACTGGTGGTTTAAGGAGTTCTTCAATCATTGGGTCAAGGATTACGGGCACCCCTTGACTCTAGGTAGTGACCGCGACACTTGATGACAATCTATGGGTCCAAGTTGACTATGTCGTCAGCCAGACACCCCGAGACAAATGGATAGACCGAACAGATGAATAAGCTGCTACAGCAGGTGCTCACACGCTCGCGCCCACGCCACCCTCGCCACGCTCATTTCGAATTTGAAACGCAGTGACCCCGCGCATATACATTAGACCAGACCAGAAAGACTGGGACGGTCACCTCCCTAAAGTAGAAAGTGCGTACAACACCTCGGTGCACTTAGCCACCCCGGACGCTGAATGAGATGCACCGAGGATGGCGTCCTAGGTGGCCCATTGACTGTCTAAACCCGGATCAGGTTCAGAGGTTGCCGCCCAATGCAAGGGAGTTTGCTATCCAGTATGTGAAAGACTTAGAACGCGTGACTGAGAACATCAGGAAAGCCCAGCACCAGATGATAGAGCAAGCGAACAAGCACCACAAGCTGTGGCAGTTCGCTGTAGGTGACTTACTCTGGGTCAAGTCCAAGGAGTTCCTCCTTGAAGAAGGCATATCACAGAAGCTGTTGCCAGCTTATAGAGGACCTTGGCAAGTTCTCAACGTTATTGGGGACGCAGATGGTCCCTCCTACACGGTAGAGATCCCACCTCATCTGCACACTTACCCTGTTTCTCATGCATCCAAATTACTCCCCTACACGACAACCGATCAGTTTCCATCACGAAGACAGATGATCCCACCTGATATGGGTGGCAGGTATGACATTGACAGAATAATGGCTGAAGATGTTTGCAGACCTGGACGAAGGGGGAGACACCAGCGACAATACAAAGTAAGATTTGCGTACAAAGAGCCTGAGGACGATTGCTGGTTTACAAGGGATGAGCTTTTAGAAACTGCCCCGGATATACCTTCCTTCTATGAAAGGGCAACGAGAGGGAGGGATCAATGTAGCAGATAGGTAAAGACTGTATTTTTCTCGGAGAACCTCAAAATTAGGCCGGCGGGAGTAAAAGGATTTCACGCTGCAGACGCCCCAACTCCCGGTCTCAGAGTCCCAAAGCCCCAATGTCCCAGTCCCAGATGGTCCTGGGCGTACTAGGTCCCGGTAGGGTAGGTCCGATAGACAAGGTCGAAGTGTTGTAAGTCAAGTCGGGCATACATCTGGAAAAGTCGGCCTGTTGTAGAGTCAGTCCAGTACCCGACAGAAAAGTCCAAGGCTAAGGTCAGTCCAGTCCGGTCCCATGTCCACAAAATTGCAGCAAGTCCCAGGAAAGTCCGGAAACTACGGGACCGACAAAATGATTGCAACAGACGGGCCACGGCCGACCGGTACCGGTTCGAAGAAGGCCAAGCCACGATAAGTCCTATTTAGCTGCTACAATGTGGCGGCTCATCAGTTGTTCATTCACGAGGTGTGGTGCGATCAAGCGACTTGGGCACACTTGCGCTCTAAGGTGTGTGTGCGGCACAGAGAGAGAGAGAGAGAGAGAGAGAGAGAGAGAGAGAGAGAGAGAGAGAGAGAGAGAGAGAGAGAGAGAGAGAGAGAGAGGGAATGGTAGTCGGGGACATATCTGCTTCACAGCAGAGATCTGTGTGTGCGGCAGAGACCACTGAATACCTGAATATTCTCGTGTAATAATATTTGGATGCCAACTCTTTGCAATTCTTGTGTCTCGGCTACAGGGTTTCATGTGTGAGCTCTCATCTGGATGTCCATTGCACGAGTATGCGAGGTTGAGGTGGTTTGACTTGTGAATCATTGCAGGAATAGGAACCGGACTGACGCTCCCCAGAATGGATATGGGGCCAGGACCATAAGGGCCTGCTTGATTGTTAAAAAAAAAAAGAAAGAAAGAAAGAAAAAGAAAAGAAAAAACTTCCGAACAGGAGAAGTATGGGCCTTACCGAGTCAATGATATACAGAAAGACACCCTTGCCAGAAGTGTTTGTTGCAGCTTTGTATTTCCTATCGAATCTGTAGGAAGTACTAGGATCTTGATCAATCCGATCAAGGGCCCAGTGAGGTCTATTTTGGACAAAGGTTGCTGTACGGACTCTGCCCTCCAGCTCAACCATATCGATTTCCTGAGCAAACTCTCGGGAGATGCCTGCCAGAGCAGCCAGTGTCATGGACACGAGTACTCCCTGCATAACCTTTGTATACCTGGGGGGATGCATGGATACACCACAATTCAAATCCAATCAAAGTGTACAATGCCCTCAGGTAAAAAAAGACACAAGATTCCAAAATAGTAGATAGCTGAGCCTGAAAAAAAAAAAAGAACAAAAAAGCTGAGCCTGCAGCATCACCTGGTTGGTTATCATTTCTTTAACTTTAGGAGCCAAGAATGTAACAAGGGTTCATCACAAGTCTGTCATACCAGGGTTGCGGACAGTCAGGGCAGCGGTCTGGTGTTGGTCATTTCTGCTCCTGGAGTTTAGTCCCATGCCTGCACCTAAGCTGGGTAATGGTCCCACTCCTTGTTTTCCAGATTGTTTTGTGGAGGGATTCCCGGTCTCCTCTTGTGTGGTAATAAAATGAGCAGAGCCTTTAAAAAAAAAAAAAAAAAAGCATCTCATACTACGGCCAGCAATTTATTTTGGATAAATGCAGTCAACATATGTAACACACAGGGGATTCAACTGACTCAGTGGGCTCTGAGCAGGAGCGCAAAGTTTGCCTGTCCTGGCATCAGACCAAAAGATATGTGTAGTATTGTGTACTGATCAAAGTCTTTCCCCACAGCCTCGCATTGTTCTCAAGTTCCCTGGGGACATGAACTGGTGGTTTAGTCCAACCCAATCCAATCGCCAGCCTACATGTACGTTCGACCCCGGGACTTTCCTCTACTTAAGTTGCTCCTCTCTTCTAGAGGTAGCAGTGTGATGAGCACCTCGTCGAGGGGCAATTGCATGGGAGCAGCCCACGCAGGACACATTTCACCTGTGCATCAGACAGCACAGACCCTCGACAACGACGCCCAATCAGAGAACTCAGGACAGAACTTAAGAGTCACTGACCTATTCACAATCCTTCAACCCATAAGGAAGGCGTCCCAGACTGCCGGCCTAAATTCGAGGTCCTCCGAGAATACTTCAGTCCAAGGCTGGACCTTTATCTTTCTCATCTCTCTCATAGGCGCTACCTACATCGGGAGCGGTCTCAAGCAGTTCTGTTCGTGTAAACCAGCGGTCGTCCTCTGGTTCCTGAAAAGCGAACCTGACCTTATACTGTTTTTGTGGACGACCCCTACCTCCTGTTCTGAAGACATCTTCACCTACGATGCCGTCAATGTCATACCTTCCGTCCATGTCCAGAGGGAGCATGGACCTCCGTGATGGAAACTGTTGACTTGTGGTACAAGGCAGCAACTTTGACGCATGAAACACCAGGTAGGTGTGGAGGTCCGCTGGAATTTCGACTGTGTAGGACGGTCCATTCTCTCCGCCCTTGACTTCTAAGACTGGCCACGGTCCTCGGTATGCAGGCAGTAACTTTTGTGAGATGTTCTCCTCAGGAGCAAACTCTTTGGACTCGACCCAGACTAAGTCGCCTACTTGAAACTGCGATGGGCGACGGTGCTTATTGGCTTGCTTTATCATTCTATGCTGGGCCTTCCTGAGGTTCTTTGTGACGGTAGCAATCTCCTTTTCATAGTGTAGTGCAAACTCCCTTGTACCGGGCGGTAGCCTTTGAATCTGATCCCGGTTCAGTCCCTCAAACGGTCTACGCGGTCTAAAGGACTTATGTAACTTGTTGGGAGTGCGACAAGTCGCTGAGTGCACATTGTTTTTTGTATGCGCTGGCTACCTTGGGAAGCATCTCATCCCAGTTAAGCTGATCAGGTCTAATATACATTCTGAGAACTTGCTGCAGGATTTTGTTCATCTGTTTAGTCTGACCGTTAGTCTCAGGATGACGGCCAGATGACATCAACAACCTAGAGCCATAAACTATCATCAACTCCTGCCAGTTTTGACTAGTGAACCTGGTATCTCTGTCACTAACTATTGACAGTGGGAGACCATGTTCACTGACCCAATGATCAAAGAACTTGTCTATAACTAAATCTGTTCGTGCCTCTGCGGGGAAAGGAACAAAGACTGCATATTTACTAAATCTATCAACTATAACCATGGCTTGGCTCTTGCGATGCCTACTCTTGACCCCGGCATCCATAAAGTCAATGGACACAGAATCTCCGGGTCCTGTGGGAATAGGCAAGGGTCTGAGAAGACCAAGAGGGGCCCGCATAGTGGTCTTATTTCGTTGGCAGACTTTGCAACAGTGTACATACTCTATGCAGTCGGCCTTCATACCTGGCCATGTATAAAGTTTTCTGCCAACCGAAATGTCCCTCTATGTCGTGACATTCCCCTAAGATCAAACTACGGATCTCTTCACTATCGGGAACGCACAAACGGTCAGCTACATTAGTCTTCTCAAATAGTAACCCATCTGTAGTGCGGCAGTCTGGCTCAGACTTTGCAGACTCCTTAACTCTCTTGAGGAGATCACTATAAATAGGGTCCTGCGCATATGCCTCTTTGACTTTCTATTGCAGGTCTCTCCTTATATCCAGATAGTGAACTATCGCTCCAAAGTAATCAGCTCTTCTGCTTAGAGCGCTCGCGACTACATTATATTTCCCTTTAACCGGTTTGAGCTCAAAGTCAAACCAATCTATCTCTGCGGCCCACCTAGTAAGCTTAGGTGTCATCTTGGCTGTGTCTTCAGCCACCTCAATGTCTCGTGGTCTGAATACACTTTGAAGTGTCTCCCAAGCAAATAATGCTTTCAGTGGTCTAAAGCTTGCCTGAGAGCATAGAGTTCCCTCTCGTAGGTAGATGTCGCAACCTTCTCTGAAGGCATCCTAGCAGACATGAACTCTACGGGTCTATAGCCATTGCCATCATCTTGTTGTAGAACAACACCTATACCATACTGACTTGCGTCAGTGGTGACGACAAAAGGCAAGGATGGATCGATTACCTTGAGAATTTGATACTCTATCAAGGCCCGCTTCAACTTCCTCAGGGCCAACGTACAATCCTTATCCCACTCCCATATTGCTTCTTTCTTTAACAACCTGCGAAGGGGTGCAACGATGGTAGAAAAGTCCCTCACGAACTTCCTATAATATTTGGCTAGGCCTAGGAATGACCACAATTCTGTCAACGTGCGGGGCGTTGGCCAATCTCTAATCGCTGCTATCTTACCGTCCTCAGGCTTTATGCCATCTCCATCTAAGACGTGCCCCAAGTACAAAACTCGTGTCTTAGCCCACTCACACTTCTTTGCGTTGATCTTGAAGTTAGCTTCTCTCAGCTTCTCCAAAACCTACCTCAGATGACCCTCATGCTCCTAGAGGGTCTTACTAAAAACTAAAATAACGCCTAAGTATACGACTACAAATCTATCTAACCAAGGCCTAAACAAATCATTCATACAACGCTAAAATGTTGTTAGGGCGTTGGTTAGTCCAAAGGGCATAACTATAAACTCATAATGCCCATACCTAGTCCGAAATGTCGTCTTGTACTGATCATCAGGGTGGACCTCTATCTGATGATAGCATGACTTCAAATCTATCTTAGAGAAGTATTTGCAGCCCTGCACCCGATCTAACAGATCATCTATACGGGGCAGTGGTTCTGCATTCTTCACTGTGACGGCATTGGGACCTCTATAGTCTACACACATACGAAGCTCTCCTTCCTTCTTGGGAACAAAAAGAACAGGCGCTCCAAACGGAGACGAACTGGGCCTAATCCAACCCTTCTTTAGGAGCTCATCTAACTGCTTACGCAGTTCTTCTAACTATTTTGGGGACATTCTGTACACGGCCCCCTTCGGAGTTATATCTCAATGCGATGCCGGATGGGCCGCGACACTACTCCTGCAGGCGGCTGAGCTAAATCAGTATACTCCTCCAGCGGTCTGGCAATGACTGGCTCCATAGGCTTCTCTTCCTTAGGCTCAGTAACAAGCCTAACATAGGCTACAAAAACCTGCTCTTCTAGTTGCTCCTTCCTCACTAATCGCGCAAATGCGAGAGCACTAAGACAGCAATGTGCGAGGGTGTTATCTACTCCTAACACATGAAACAGGTGAGCAGTCTTGAGTTCACCTGATGGACTAGGGAGCCTACACTCGTGCTCTCTCAAGTGGAATGTGGCCCCTGCTGCCTCTCCCCAATTCATTCCTAGGACCATGTCGAAAGGAAGGCTGTCTTCTACGAGGAGAGTTAGGGACTGGAGAACTTTTTCCACCTTCCCATCCTTTTCTAGGCGAAAGTGCGCATGGACTCCCTCTACGTAATCCTCGACTCGCATAGTACGATTGTCTGTAAAGATACTGATTACAGGGTCTTCTAACTTCTAAACTTCCAGATTTAACTTCAGCTTCTGCAATGCTTTTCTACTGATATAGCTGCGGGTGGCCCCACTGTCTATAAGGGTCCCTACTTTACCTCTAAAGACCTCTACGTCTACTAAAACTAGTTGTCCTTTCGCATCCTTCTTCATCTTGGCCCAGACAGGCATTCTCTCTTTCAACTCTTATGCCACGCCCGTGAGGGAAGTGCCTAGAGAGACTCTAACACAAGCAGTCTCCGGACAGCTATCTAGGTACTGGCCAGCAACCTCTGCCCTAGACACATGTGGTTTGGGAGTTTTTGTGTGGTGCGCGCACTCTTCTCCACATGGTCTAGGGGTAAGGGCAGTTGCAACCCCTACCGACGGTTGCCTTTTGCTGCCTGTGCAGCAAACCGGGCCTCTTTGTACTTAGGGCAGTATTTAATAATATGCCCAGGATCACCACAATAGATACACTGATCCTGATCTATCCTCCTCTGCCAAACTGTTTGTTTTGGGCCCAGATCTTCCCAGGGCCTGCCTTGCGGCAAGCCAGGGTGCCATCCACCCCTCCTGGGAGGTGACCAAGTAAAACGAGAGCGGTTTTGCGGGGGACCTTGACCCCTACCTCCCGCTTGGCGGCCTCCTCTGCCACCAACTCCCTGATCACTTTGTCCTCGACCACCAGAAGCCTGGCCCCCTTGGCCCCGACCTCCTCCTCTACCTTGTGGCCTCCCTCCAGCCGTGACAGCAGCGTAAGTCCTCCCCTGATCCTCCTCCAGGCCCCACTCTATCTGGCTGTAAAGG